GGGCACGGAGGGTAGGAGGGAAGGGGCACGGAGGGTAGGGGCGGAGGGCCATGGGCCGCGGGCAGGTGTGCTTCACGCCGCGCTCCGGTCCCGGTGCGAACGCTCCTGTCAGGGGCCAGCTGGCGAGTCAGCTGGCGGACCACGTGGCCACTGCCACCAGTGGGCTCTGTCGCTCTGAAAGCAGCCACAGGCGACACAGGCGTGGCCTTGCCTTAGGATAAGTGGTGGCAAAAGATGTCCGTGCTTTAGACTCGCACCCAACCTCTCCCTCAGCCTCCGTCTTCTCACCTGTAAGATGGGGCCACCGGCAGCTTCCTGAGGGGTAAAGAGCTCGTGGCCCAGAGCCCCTCCCCCACCCCACCCCCCACACGCAGCAGCGGCTGTGGCCATAAAGCAAGCCCCTTAAAATACCAACCCACCAACAAAACCGCACGCAGACGGAGCCAGGACGGCCCAGTCTTCAGTGCGTCTGGGCGACTCGATAGATTTCAGCTGCCCGACGGCTCTCCTCCCGCAGGCATCCGGTTCGTCACCGCCCACGTCCGCAACTGCTCCAGCCGGACGCTGAGCTCGCTGTTCGCAGGCCCCATAGACCACCGGTCCCTGCTCCTGCAGGACGAGTACATCTTCTTTAAGGTGCTGGCACTGCGGGTTCCCGGGAGCGGCATCGGGACGGGGAGTACCAGGGCAAATGCAGTCACTGGGCAGGAGGCAGTTTGATGTTCAAGTGCTACTGAGTCATAGTTTCCCTGTGGCTGTGGCTGTGGCTGCAGGCGCCCCCTCCACGGCCCCGCAAAGCCCATCCCTGGGGCGGGGCGCTGGCCGTTCCTGGATAGCTCATTCCACCTTGTTCCATACTCAGATGCAGGCACCGAGGTGTTGATAGAAGAGGAAAGAGATTAGTTCTCACTGAAGGAGGTGGAGGAAGACTTCTCAGAGGAGGGGCGTTTGGATATGGGGCTTTGAAGGATGAATAGGAGTTTGTCTATTTCAGGCAGAGCAGGTACAAGCAAAGTACAAGAGCATATTTTTGCATGCTGAATACAAAGTGTAGTTTTTGATTCATGAGGATCTGGCTGGAAAGGGAACCTAACCCCTCAAAAACGTGCTGCTCTCTCCTGTTAGGCAACGTCCAGCAACCAGACCAGATACTACGTGTCTTACCGTCATAACGAGTTTGCCCTGATGAAGCTGCCGAAGTACGCGTTGCCGAAGGTGAGAGGATTCCTCGCCCCGCTCCCACCCCCGTCACCCCCGTGGCCACCACTGGAGCCTGCACTCACCGTGGGCACAGGGCCCTTGCACGGATGTTTGGTGATCCGGGTCAGGATGGACAGGCGCTGTGGCCACGCTCCCTGCAGCTCCTCTCCCTCCGCCCTCCGCGCCAGCCCCCCAGGGCCCAGCTTCCTCCTGTCTCAGGGCCTCTGCCTTGCTCTTCCCTCTGCCGGCCTGTCTCTCCCCAGAACGCCTCCCCTGCGAGGTTTCAGGAGAAGCGTCACTTGCCAGCAAGCCTCCGGGCCGGTCGAGGCCTCCCTCTCCCCCTCACAGCCACCTTCTCTTTCCTGACACCGGGGGCAGGGGCCTCCTGTGCTGGCCTCTGCTTCCAGCTGGAGTCTGGGCGCAGCTTCTGTCTTATCAGCCTCTGCTTTCCACTGCCTAGGATGGTGCCTGGCACAGAGTAGGGGCTCAGTGAATGTACTTCCTTCCCCGTGCCTGGACAGACACAAGTTGGGGAACTGAGGGCTGCCCAGGCCCCGCTCCCAGCCTAACCTGAGGACTGAACTCGGTACCACACCCTGCCGACGTGTTATTCCCATCTGACAAGGGAGGTGATTGACGTCCAGAGAGGCCCAGTATCCTGCCTGGGGTCACACAGCCAGTGAGAAACCAAAGCAGGGCTCCCTCCCAAGTCTGGGTGGGCCTGAAACCAGCCTCACGCAGCCGCTCCCTCCAGAGGCCGCCGCAGGGCCCCTCCGCAGCTCTCCACTCCACGCGCATCACTTAGAGGCACAGGTGCTTGCAGCCCTGCCTCCTGCACACACTCACTGGGCAAGTGCAAGCCGGGAACTAATGCTGCCAGCGCTGTGACCAGGACCCCCCCAGGGTCCCGCTGCAGTGGCGTCTCCAGAGAGGAAACAGGCAGGAAACCAAGTTGCAGGCAGTTGAATAAAATAATCGCAAGTCATGATTTGTGTTGTGAAGGGAACGAGAGGCAGAGATAGAGTGATGGAGGGTCCCTGAGGGGGATATTTCATCTGAAGCCCAAAGGAGTGGGGTGGGCTGTTCAGGTGGCAGGCAGAGCATGTGCAAAGGCCCTGGGGCAGGAGAGAGCCCGGCTGGAGGACAGAGAGTGCGGTGGTGAGAGGAGACTGGCTCTGCGTCCCACCAGCCTCGGGCGGTGGATTGCTGTGAAGTTCCAAGACATGAGTTCCTCAGGCCCCGCCTGAGTCAAATGGGAAAAGTAATGGTTTCACTTAGGTCAGTGGTCGGCAAACTCATTAGTCAACAGAGCCAAATATCAACAGTACAACGATTGAAATTTCCTTTGAGAGCCAAATTTTTTAAACTTAAACTATATAGGTAGGTACGTTGTTATTAACTTAATTAGGGTACTCCTAAGGCTTAGGAAGAGCCACACTCAAGGGGCCAAGAGCCGCATGTGGCTTGCGAGCCGCAGTTTGCCGACCATGGACTTAGGGCAACCACCTTGGCGTTCCTGGGGGTGAGTGTTGGGGGCGGGAGGCGAGGGGACTTTTCAGCTTTGAGCAGCTTTCCTCTGGCCTGGGGGCTGCAGCATCGGGGTCCTGTGTCCTGGGCCCTCTGTCCTGGTGTTGGACAGCAGATCCCTTCCTGCCCCCCTGGCATTGGGACCTGGACCCCGGGCTGCTGCCCGTCTCCTGCAGGGACCAATGAGCACACAGCCTGCCCTGGGCAGGAGCAGGCAGCTTCATGCACCACCCCTGTGCTCCTCCCCGCTGCAGCCCAGTGTGGAGGGTCAGGCTGGCACCCCCTTTGTAAGGTGGGAAAATGGAGGCCCAGACAGGTGAAGGGACCTGTCCAAAGCCACGGAGCTGAGAGGGAGGAGCCAGGGAGCCGCCCCCCCGCCCCCCTGCTCAGGTGGGCTCCCCCACCATGGCCTCTGACCCTGTGCTCTGCCCCCGCGCCCCCAGGACCTGCAGGTCATCAGCACGGACGAGAGCCAGGTGCTGGTGGCGGTGCAGGAGTGGTACCAGACGGACACGTACAACCTGTACCAGTCGGACCCTCGTGGCGTGTTCTACTCGCTGGTGCTGGAGGACGTGCGCAGCTCCCGGCAGGCGGAGGCGGGCGTGATTGTGGACGTCCTGGAGGTGGGACGCTGGCCCTGCCTGGCCCTTCCTACCCCCCCTCTCCCCCCCGCTTTCTCTCTCATTCTCGAGCTCCAAGTTCTGCAAATATTTCTTAAAGGATCAGCTAGGAGGGCCCGCAGGCCCAGAGGAAACCGCGTAGGCACTGGGATGGGAGCAGCAGGGACATATGAGGGAACAGCCTTAGGGCGCAGGGCTGGCGAGGAGGGTGGGATTCGCGGCGGGAGGTGGCGCTCTGCTCGGCTGGGGTTGGCGTGAGAGGTCCTGGTACGATGGGACCGCGGGGTCATCCGTAAAGCCCTTCCGCTCCCTCGTCCGGCTCAAAGCCCAGCCCAGGCCGGTTTGGCCTGAGGGACAGAGGCTATGGGCCCCACTCTGTCTCAGCCTCTCCCCTGCCCGTCTCCTGGGCCCTCCGTCTGTCTATCGACGTGTCTCCAGTTCCTGCTCACTCTTTGTCCCTCACCTCGGCTCCCCTCTCTCCTCCCTTAAATGTGGAGCCCAGGGCCGCCCAGCACCCGGCTGCCATCGCCCTGGCCATGGTCGGGACACAGCCATGGCAGTGGCCGCATAGAGACCCAGGAGATACGGCCACCCCCTGTCCCAGAGCCAGGGACCAGGACCACATGTGGAAAAAGGGTCTTTGCAGCTGTCATTAGTGAAGGGTCCTGAGAGGAGGTCCGAGGGCAGGTGTCCTGTCAGGATCCGGAGGGGACACACAGACACACAGGAAGCCATGCGAGGACGGAGGGGGTCCCAGTGGGGGTCTCAGTGAGGGGCTCACTGGGGGGCTCAGTGGGGCTCAGTGGGGGACTCAGTGGGGCTCAGTGGGGATCTTAGTGGGGGGCCCAGTGGGGGACTCAGTGAGACTCAGTGGGGATCTCAGTGGGGGGCTCAGTGGGGTTCAGTGAGGGTGTCAGTGGGGTGCTCAATGGGGG